TATAATGGAATCATATAGTCTTTTTTTTAATAAAATTTTTTATTGATTTCAGAGAGGAAGGGAAAGGGATAGAGAAACATCAGAAACATCGATGAGAGAGAAACATCGATCAGCCGCCTCCTGCACACTCCCCACTGGGGATGTGCCCGCAACCAAGGTACATGCCCTTGACCGGAATCGAACCTGGGATCCCTCAGTCTGCAGGCCGATGCTCTATCCACTTAGCCAAACCGGTTAGGGCACCTTGTCATAAATTTAATAGAACTCACCTTGTCATAAATTTTTATAGAGAACCATGAAAAGAGCATGTGTATGTTTATAATTTTCAGCCTGACTCATATCCCTGGTTTATGAACAAACTACTATGTCCCAGGCATAAGAAGAAACTCAGTTGTTCCAGATTACAACACAGAGAATGACGCTCAGTGGTTTTCTTTAACTGCTTGAATCTTTACGAGGGCCCAGTATAACTTCCACCTGAGAACGGCTGTGTGTCTCTTGGATGCAGTCCTGCTGGCTCAACTCAGCCACCTCCCCCCGCTTTCCTCAGCCTGGAGGCTGGCTTGCCTATTATCTCCCCGGGAAGAAGTAAGAGCTTCCCACACGGGCCCACATCGCTACGATGCTACTGGATGTTTCCTACTCTTTGCTTGGCGTTTTCTGAGCTTTGGGAGCTGTTTCTTTGGTCCTAATCTGTGTTTTCAGGCGTTCGTCCTCCTTGGCAACATTCTGGAGGCACAATCCTGAGGTTCAGCTCGATTTTCCCATCCTCTCTGCACCTTCCCAAGGGCAGGGTGACACTGTTTCCAGTGGGTGCAGTCTGTAGGTGGCACGCACTGGTGCTGCAATGTGCTGCCATCCATCGGTGATTGCTGGGTTCATTGTATATTTTCTGTCAGAGCTCCCTGACCACATATTGAAAGTTTCCAAGAATATTTTCGGATTCTCTTCACTTAAAAAGTGGTTTCTTTACAGTTTACTCCAGGGAATGAAAGAGAATGTCTGTCGAGGAAATGGCGTAGTGATCCTGGGAGGGGAAGCCAGGGTACAGAGCACTGGCTGGCGTGTCCTTCCTCTCACAGCTGGCACTAAGGAAGGAAGTGGAGGACCCTGCAATGCGTCTCTCATTCCGGTCCCTGCTGCGAGGGCTCTTGACTTCCTTGTCTCTGAGCCTAGATCTAGGCTCGGGCCAACCAGTAGGTTTCCTCCCTGGCTCTCTTCTCCTTGAAGCAGCCAGTGACCTGGACCCACTTTGGGACTTTTGTGTGTGTGTTGTTGTTTTTTAACTTTTAGCAGGACTTGGCACCAGGCTATTTACATATGTTCTGATTTTTTCATGGATCTAATGTTCTCTCTTTAATAGCAAAGAGAGCTAACTCTAATAAGCTCCTACTATGTACCACCCCACTTTCCGCATTCAACATGTAATCCAGGTGCCGAACTCTTCCTCTTGATGGAAGTGTGTGTGCTGTGGAGCGTTGGGGGGCCGGGGAGGGGGGGAGTTTACAGTGATCTGTGCAATCAGCCCTACTGGTAGCCAGCTGGGCATCTGCACATGGGTTCTCTTTGCAGCCCCACTGTCCACACTAACGGCCCCAGTCTGCTACTGATGGAGGTAAAGAAGTGCTGTTCTTCACCTTCTGGAGTCCTGAGGCAGGTTCCATCAGTTCTTTGTTTCCAATCCACCACGATGGAATCCGCGTCCTACAGCATTGGGGGCGGGGGAGGAGGGGCAGAATGGGGAGCCTGCCCGCGCCCCTGGGTTGGGTAGAGATGCACTTTCCTCAGCTGGAGGCAGGGCCAGGAGGGGGAGGACACGCCTCTCCCTCACCCTGTGAACAGGCTCCCCCAGGCCCTTTTCTTATTTAACAGCTCTTAATGGTGGGATCGAATTCATATTCTCCAGAAAAAGCTTTTTCTTTTTTCCATTTTCAAGTCACACTAGCACATTTAAGTAAAACACTCTTAATTTATACCTAGATGATTTATATCAAGGCTTTACAATTCAACTGGGCTGCCATATATCTGGCCTCTGAGTTTATTCAAAACATTAATGACTACAGTTTAAAGACTAAGGCTTCACACCATTCAAAACTGAATTTATGGGACTGTATTTCTTTTCATGACTGAACACTTTGGAGCCTCCAAAAGAAATTTTTTAAAATCTTCATTTTAAGAACTTTCTATTGTTCCTCTATGTCACCTATACTAACTTGTTCTCAAACCATGTTTATATCCAGTCCAATTATGATTTTCACTTGACCATTTATTTATTCAGAGTACAAATTGCTCTACTGTTGTGGTAAGAACTGAGGGAATGTATTCACAGCTAACTTTCCCAGAGACTGTGGGGATATACTTGTTTTTATACCCATAAAAGAACATGAACGGTAATTAAAATATATTATATCATTATAAAATTTACCATCAACAGACCTTCATTTGTAAAAGATTTATGGCCAGAATTTTCAGATGATTGTATTTTGTTCTGACTACATGTTGCATTTTAATGTTAATATGATGTTCTTGAACATGAGAGAAGTGGGGATTTAATGGAATAAAATATGAAAGTCAATTAAATTTTACAAATCAGGGGAAGAGTAAATAAGAGAATATTAATTGGTACTATCCATTCCACTTTACGGGCACGTCTGAGGAAACAAGGCTGTATTAAAATTCCACCACTGCAGAAAAGGTTTGAGAGCATCTAGTCATTTTCAAATCTTCATAACCATTTCTGGGTCATCACTTTAAAGAAAAAGTCATAGGAAACTAAACATGTAACTTCTCTCCAAATACTTTTGGTCCAACGTAGAAGTTATTCCAGTAGGACCATATTATTCAGTCTTACCATTCTGTTATGATGTTAGATGCTTTAACTTTATTTAGCTCTTCTTGGATGGCTTGTTTGGCTCTTATTTCTGCGTCCAGAGCTGACTGTAACTCCAGTCTAGCTGACATATCCAGTTTCGCAAAACGACGCATTTTCCAGGGCATATCCTAGGAAATAATAGGACTGTTTTTAGCTCTATTCTATTTTTTACATTCAAATTTAGTAATCCAAGTGAAGTTGGAAACTACTTAAAAGTATTATCTTTCTTTAATAAAATAGAATAAGCACATTGCTTGTGAAAACATATTTTTCATTAAATTCAGAAACAACTGTAGACTCAAAAATAAGTTTGTTTTTTTTACAGTTATTGTCAATACTAACTAGCCCTGCAAACTTTGGTTAAGCAGCTACGTGTTAAGATTCCCTAAACTGGAAAAGACCTGGACTAACTGACTCCTCAGGGAAACTTCACAGTCGCTAAAGCCCAGACAAACCAATGAAAGCGCTCAGGTTCATCAGTGTTTCCGGGCTCCCCTGCCTCCCTTAGGGCGAGTCTCTGTGCAGAACGGCCGCTTACTGTTGCTCGTGTGCCCAAGCTGGAGTTTCTTAATGCCTCCAACTCCTCAGTCATTTTCGAAGCTAAGGCCTGAAGGTATCCTCGTGCGTCCTTCTCATCACTGACCCTAAAATGCATATAAAGACAGAGATAAAGCACAACATTAAACAGAAAGAAAAACTTACTTTAAAGCATCACAAAGAAATAAGTGAAAAGTGACAGAAATGTAAAGATGTCCTCACATACCTTCTTTCTAAAGTTCTAACAGAGCACCACTGCATGTCGACAAGTGGGGAAATGTCCACTGGATAAATGACAGCTGGCCGTGCTTAGTTAATCCAAATTACTCCTTCCTCATAATCCCTAAAACTTCACCCATAAACCACAGAAGCAACACTCTTTTAATCTCACATTAACCCCCCCCATGATTTCCAAAAAATATTAAGATTTCTCATTAATTGGATTCTGCCATTTTATGCTATATAAAAACATAACACACCATTCTTATAATTGAAATATGTGTATTTAGAAACTTATTAAAAAACATATTCTGCAAAAATCAAAGTTGTATTGTAATAAAGTTCTTCTGTTTTCTAAAATGGTAAGTAAAATAATCAAAGAAAAAAGATTAAAGGTTACTAAAAATCAGTTTATATTTATGCTGATGCAAATATTATAACTTTAGGTAGAAATATTTTCAAATTTTATAATAAAACATATCCCACCCCAGCCAGTGTGGCTCAGTGGTCAAGCATCAGCCTATGTACCAGGAGGTCAGGGTTCGATTCCCGACCAGGGCACATGTCTGGGTTGAGGGCTCGATCCCCACTAGAGTGTGTGCAGGAGGCAGCCGATCAATTGTTCTCTCACATCATTGATCTTTCTCTCTCTCTCTCTCCCTCTCCCTTCCTCTCTGAAACAAGTAAAAATATTAAAAAATAATAAAAGAGAAAGTAAAACAAATTCCACATGCTAGAATTTGTCAAGAGAAAGTCTGCTTTGTTACATCTCCTCCCAAACAAGGGAAGAAGAGGGTCAAGGGGTGCCAGCGTATGAAAATCTACAAAAGGTCCTGTTCTCGGGAATGAAAATCATCTGCACACAGAGAGCGATAATTCCACACAGAAAAACGTTGACATTTGCAAAGCTCAGCAGTATATTCTAACACACTATCTACTTTGTGCAGGTCGGTTGTTTTCAAAGAGAAAATACAGGCCACTGAACAGCTATGAGGAAAGTACATTTCAGGGAAATTAACATGTATCTGTGATGCGTACAGCACACAAATTTAAATCTTAACCTTTATTTTAGCGCCTTTAGAATTCAGACTCCTGAGTAGTCAAGGGATGATTCATGTCCCAGACGGGATGGAGTGGGATAGTGCAAGACTTCATTACACCAGAATAGTGCCCCACTTAAAGCTTATGAATTGTTTGTTTCTGGAATTTTCCTTTTAATATTTTCAGGCTGTGGTTGACTACGGGTAAGTGAAATCATGGAAAGCAAAACTGCAGATAAGTGGGGACTACTGAATATTACAAGTTCCCGAAACTGTTTGCATTGCTTCATCTTTACTATTTCACACCACACACTGAAAATAGCTGAGACCCCTGACCTTCATAGCCTTGGGTGGAGTATCTCAGAGAGTGATTTTCAAGTAGGTGAGAACTCTGAGGACAAGGAGCATATCTTTTTCTTTTAGCCTGTTAAATATTTAATAATTCATTTTTTAATACACGACCATTTCTAAATATCAGCTTTTAAGCAAAGTGACTTCTTTCTATTCCTGATTTCTTTTGCACATTTCACTTGAATAGGAAAAATGTAAAATGAGCAATTTGTGGGATTACATAAAAACTTTCACTTTCATCCTGTCTACACTGAGGCTGCCTTCCTTTCCCAGGCCCACTGCCCACCCAACCCGCGCCCGCCACGCAGGCTCCGGAGACCAGTGGGCTAGGAGCTCAGGCTCTGGCCGGGTCAGCTTTGTCTTCTATGAAGGCATTTTCAGCAATACCTTAATAACAAATCTGATTAAAGAATAATGGAATTACAAATAAATAGTCGTAATTTTTTTATATACACTTGGCTAATGATTAAAATGATTTTGCTTCAGAAATGTAGACTTGCCCTAGCCAGTTTGGCTCAGTGGATAGAGCATCTGCCTGCGGACCAAAGGGTCCCGGGATTGATTCTGGTCAAAGGCGCGTACCTCGGCTGGGTTGCAGGTTCCTTCCAACCCTGGTCAGGGCGCCTGCAGGAGGCAACCAATCGATGTGTTTCTCTCACATTGATATTTCTGTCTGTCTTTACCTCTGTCACTCTCTCTAAACACCAATGGAAAAATATCCTCGAGTGAGGATTAAAAATAATGACAATTTTTAAAAAAAGAAAAATAAAAGAAATGCAGACTTGATGACTAGGACATAAATTAAACATTAATAAACTATTTAACTGTACCGCTTGGAACACAACCAGATTTCCACAACTGGGACATTTTCCTTTAGATATTCACTGAATAATCACATTATTAAGCTCAACATAAGTTAACATAACAGATCCACAGTTAAGCCAATATCATGGTACTTGAGTCATTTGGGTAATATTTCTTAAAAGAGTGTTTATTCACTTTTGATTTTAAGGAGGATATTAACCTGGTATAAGGAAAATGGGGAAAAATGCTTAAAGAACCAAAATAAGAGCACAAGAAACTAAAATTTCTACTAAATGATTGGTCTATAAATATGTGAAGAAACGAGTTATTTTCAGATAAATTAAATATCCATGATTTACCAAAAAGTAAAAAAACTAGAAAATATAAAAAGTTAAACTATTTTTAATAGAAAATAAAGTCCCCATTTGCTTCCACTTTTCTCATGTATTAAAAATATATACAAATACTAGAATAATTATTTTAATGAGTGAATTAATATGACGGTTACTAAGGTAAATTATTCCACATGAAATCCTAAAAGCTTAAAGAGCAGTTGCTAAAATTAGACTGGACCCACATAATGTTTGTAAAAGGCCCTGGTGAGTCAATCTGTTATAATATGGAGGACGGTGCTAGTACATCTTCATTCTCTAAATGTTTCTCCAGGCTTTCTGTTTCTTAAATAATCATAAACACAGCAATTTTGATCTTAGAAAGGAACATCTATAGCTAGTGAATGACTTTCTTCTATCCTTTAAGGACCAATGTCTCAGGAGGAAAAAAACCCAGTTTCTTTTTTTGGAAAGAAACACCATGTTTCAATGATGCTGTGTAAAGCTGACATGGGTATCTGTTGGAGTTAGGGAACGGAATGGAAACCACAGCCGAACACAAATCAGTAATAACATCAGTAATAAAACTACGCTTTTAGAGTAACATTTTTTCATAGCAAAAACTAAGGTAACGTGCGAAGTCACCTCCCGGAATTCATGCCGATGTGAGCTATGTCCACAATCACCCCCAAAGCCACTGAAGGGTACTCACCACTGAATGATCTCTGTGATTTGGGCTTCCCAATGCGCCACCGATTCCTTCTTGTCTGCTAGGTCTTTTACTTCTTCTTCTAGCTGCCGGTTGCGTACACTTAGGTTCTCATACAGAGTGGTGAGCTGAAAGGCGTTCAAAGACACGTGACTTTTAGAAACAGGAACTCAAGGTACTCAGACGCCTCTTGTTCAATCTTAAATTCACCATATTCCACTCAAAAATGCTTGTCTTACTGATCCCTCACTATTACCCCTCTGGTCATGGGTTTGGAAACATCAATTACTCTCTGAAGTCTCCATCTGCCTTTGCTTTTCCCCCTTTCTCCCTACACTGAATTGATTCCATTTGTGAACAGTCTCCATTTGCCTGAAGAATTCTCCAATTCTGCCAGAAACGTCGTCTCTCATTTTTTTTTTTTTTGGTCTGAAAATGTCTCTTTGTCATCCTCTCTCTCTCTCTTTTTTTAATTCTTTATTGTTTAAAGTATTATATATGTCTCCTTTTCCCCCCACTGACCTTTCTTGGTCGTTCCCACCCCTCTCTCCAGCACATGCTCTCAGCCTCCTACTGTCTGTGTCGATCGTTTATGCTTATATGCATGCATACGAGTCTTTTGGTTGATATCTCACCCCCTCCCCCGCCTTCCCTCTGAAGTTGGATGGTCTGTACGATGCTTCTATTCATCCTCATTTTAAAAAAAGCATAAGAATTACAAGCATATGTAAGAATGGATGTATAGTATAAGTGAGCCCGTCACCCATGCTCAACAATTAATCGCACTCAATGTCAATGTTAATTCATCTGTACTCCTGTTTTCTTACCCATCCTCCTGTATTATTTTGAAGCAAGTACCAGACATCATATTTTATCTATATACATTTCTGTGTATAGAAAGCTCTAGAAAACAGTCTCTCTTTAAATATAACCATAATATTATCATATTTAACAAATTTAACAAGTTTCTGGATATCATCACATAGGTAGTAACTGTTCAAAAAGTTATCCCCAAATATCAAAAAACTGAAGTTTGTTAAATTGTCATGACACCAACAGTAAACATAGCTTCATGAGGTTGCTGGGTCTTCCAAGTCTCATATTTATAGGTTCCTAGCTTAGTCCATTCAGGCTGCGATAACAGAGTAGCAGAGGCTGGATTAAATTTTTTTCATGCTACAGGAATACTTCCTACAAACTCATCGCAGAAAGGCACTGGGGAGGTAAGAAGGCAGCCAAGACTTTACTGACCAAGATTCTACAGAGAGAAGGACAGAGATGAGCCCAACCCACTAACACGTGTCTCCCCACTGGACCGGACATTCCTTAAATGACCTCAGCAAGGCTTTGTCTTCCTCTGGCTAATTCCGAGAGCCCTGAAGTGACTGTTTTTGGTAAGTGTGCACCTTGACAAGTGGGAGGATTCATCAACTCTTCATGCGAGCAGAGCCACAAGCCCACCAGCTGTTTCTGAGACTGTTTTCTGCAGATGCAGTGTCTTCACTAATTCCTGCAGCACATCTTTTTTTAAAATTTTTTTATTACCATTGTTTTTGACAGCCCATCCAAGTAATTTGTGGTTGGGGTTTTGGTGGGAGATTTGCAGGAGAAGGAAATGCAGATTTTGCACGGCCATGTTACAATAGCTACAAGTTGTTCTGAATAGATTTATTCAGAAAAAAAGTTAACCTTTCCGTTGTTACTAAATAAAAGCATGGGCTCTGGGACCAGACGACCGGTCTTCAGGAAAGTGGCTTCATCTCCCTTTGCCTCGGTGTCCTCATGTATAAAATGTGAGACGAGGGTGTACCTCAGAGAGGTATTGGGAGAATTAATTATTCAAATAAAGTAACTCAGAAGAGGACTGGCACAGAGTCAATTTCCCTAAGTATCAGTTCATTTTGTATGTTTGGGAATTTACTATTTTTACTTTAATGTATCTGGCTCATAATAATTATAAGACTACACAGAAATATGGAAAATGCTCATAACATTTTAAGTGAAAAAGGCAGATTAAAAATAGGATGTATGTATGACTGCATTTATGTAGTAACTAGAGGCCCAATGCACAAAATTCGTTCAAGGGGCCTGGCCCTTGCAGCCCCAGCTTTGTCTGGAAGGTCGTTTGGCTGTCTGGTCTAATTAGCATGTTGTGCTTTTATTATTATAAATATGTAGACAAACAAAACTTGAAAAGAAACAAAATTAGAACAATTGTTTTGTGATGATGACATCATGGGTACCTTTCATGGTGAACATTTTCCACATATTTTGTAATTTTGCTTTTATGTAAAATATAAACAAGATGCAAATGATATATTTTCTTACTAGAAACCATTTACTTTTACTCCATGGAATTCATGGCTAATTTTATTTGCAATAAGTTAATAAAAAGTGAAACTTGCAGACTTCTGAAAATATCAACTTTTTTTCTATTTTCTTTTTATTTTTGGAGCTTAAAAATGTGAATGTGAAAATGTATTAGTTATAAAAGTTATTTAAGTTTTAAGATTAACATAATAATTGCTTTTTGGCTTCTATATCTAAAATCCTGGTGTTTTGTTTTTTTTGTGTGTTTTTTTTCAAGGTGAAATCTCTTTAATGGCTCAATCTACACCTGGACCAGTGGTGGCCCCAGACCCAGGGGGCTTCTGGTTGGGGGTCTGTGGACAGTCAGTGGGGACAGCTTCAGCAGTGGCCTCGGGTGTCAGGGATGTGGGAGTGACAGCACCGGTCCCCCATTGACAGGTGCCCTTCTTAAACTTCTTGCAAGGAAATGTCTTAAGCCGGGCAACCCACTGGGCCAGATCCTCAGCTGGTTCCTTTCTCTTATTCTGGAGCAATCTGCCTTTGTCCTCCATAGCTTCGCCCACTGCCTGACCCTGGCTGGGCATGGGGCCATGGGCCCCAGGTGGCCTCGGGGTTGGCCTGGAAGTGCCTGAGTCCTCGCTGGCGGGAGCTGGGGTTGGCATCATCCCGATGGTGAAGTTGGCCTGTAGCCTGGGCTCCACACTGAGAATGCGGGAGGCCGGGCTGGTCTCAGATGGCCGCTCTCGTTTCACCGGGCACTCCTCCCGGCAGCGCATGATGTCCCAGAGGGCTGAGGCGGGGGGCTCCGTCTTCACAGCTTTCTTACAGGTGTGGGAGAGCGAGACCCGGAGCCCGCATGGAGGAGGGCTGGTCACAGCTGCAGGAGGCTGGGTGCTACAGTGGATGGTGCTGCTCAGCTGGTCCAGCGTATAGCACAGAGGCATGGCCAGCTCCTCGGTGACGACGCTCAGGACTCCTCGGATCCGCTCCATGTATGGAACCGGCCGGGGTTGGTGCTCACGGCCTCTAGGACACGGCCCACAAAATCCAGGTCAAGGATTGGCTCCACCCACAGGGGGGTCACCGAGCTAGTACCGCTGCTCACACACAGGGGCCAGAGGGGGACCGCAGGCTGCAGAGAACTTGACCCGGCCACCAGAGGCCCCCGATGCTTTGCCAAGGCGCCCACACATGGAACACCAGAGCCCACTGCTGGCTGAAGCCTTGACCTTGGCCTGGCCGGTGAAGACACGAGAAAAACACGTGTCTAGAAATCAGCACTGACGCCGAGCAGTGGCACCACGAAGCGCTGACAGCGGTGAGCACGGAGGTCCAGGCTGTGCAGGACGATCCTCAGGGCCATCTCGTGGCAGGCCCGGTTTGAGGGCCATGGCCTCGTACTTGCTGTAGCGTCTCCCGCTGTTCCCGCCAGCACTGCCATGTCCTCCTGCACTCACAGCCTGCACAGCTGCATCCAGAAGAGGGGCAGGGCTGCCAGAGGGGTCCAGGTCAGTGACATCAAACCGATCCAACACCCGCTGGTGCTGGTCATCAGCACCCGGGCATCCGCCTGGCTGGGCTGAACCAGGCGGGCCACTTTATTGAGCTGCACATTATGGCGGATGAGATCCACAGCGCGGGCAGAGGCATCGTTGGCAACCACGGATCGGAGCCCAGGCACCTCTCGGGGAAAGTGAACGGAACGAAGGCCCGAGGCTGCCAGGCCCTCCCGCACTCGCAGGCCCTCATCACAGATCTCGCCACAGTGGCTGTGAGGCTGGTGTCCAGGGGCCGGGTCTGCCCCCGCTTTCAATAGAGCCTGTGCTCCTCTTGCTCCGACAAGCCCACCACCACCTTCTGCACCTCCTTTTCACCTGGCACCTTGATCTGGATTCCTTTGTCCCCAAGATGAATGAGAGCAAACTCGGTGATCACAGCACATGCCAGATCCCGGCTGCACTCCTGCACTGGATTGTAGAAGACTCGTTGGCGCTGGGCAGGCGGTCTTGGAGGACCCCTCGGTGACTGCGTCTCTTGGGTCTCAGGTGGGCGCTTTTCGCCGCAGGGCACCGTGCCATTCTCCACTGCGGGTGGATTTGCCAGCCCTTGGGGTTGCCCTCCATAAACCGAGCACTACAGAGCCCGCCGGCGGAGCGGAGATTCAGGCTGGGCTTCAGAACGATCCTCGTCTGGGACATCCTCACATGGGACATCCGCAGTAGCCTGTGCCCACCACGCCTGCTCTCGCGGAACCGAGAACCGAGTTAGTCTTGGTCACATTTTCTGGATTAAGACCCAGGTGCCACCATGTTGGCATAGTTGGGGCCTAAACTACTGTGAAGAGGAAATTCACTTCTCTTCAGGGGTTCCCCCGGAACAGCTGGGGCAGCAGTGGCAAAGGTATTCTTTAGTTACCCCTCGTGGAGAAAACACTCAACTCACACCAAACCAGAAAATGAAGAAATGGACAGAAACAGCGAAGATGTACAGTTAGGTGAACTGAGAGTTAAACAGAAGAAGAAGCTAAAGCTGAATAAAAGGAGCAAAAGTGGAGAAGTTAAAAAAGAAGCAAAAACCCCAAATCCTTCCTTATTTCTGCAGGACTAAATACTTCCTTGCTATCACTCGTCATTAAATGCTCACCTACCATATGAATTTGCTCTCAACGTGCTACTCATCTTTCATCACAAATAAAGAAATGATGGTTTAATTTTGTAGTCATATTAGTCAAACATATGAAATAACAATTATGTGACTTAGTCTTATTATAGCAGAAATAACTAACAGTTACAACATTATTCAGTTTCAAATTCATTTGTACTTCTTGGGCCATTTTCCAGTGCTTGTGCACATCGGCTCTATAAAACTTGACAAAATGAACTACCAGTTCTTTCTTAAGTAGCTTTCAACCAAATAAGTAAAGTAAATTTTTTAAAAAACTTTATCTTTACTGATTTTTTGAGAGAGAGGGGGAAAGAGAGAAACATCTCTGTGAAGTGAAAAATTGATCAGCTGCCTCCTCACATCTCCCACCATGGATTGAGCCTGAAACCTGGGCATATGCCCTGACTTGGAATCAAATTAGCAACTGTTTGGTGCACAGGACAATGCCCAACCAACCTACCAACTGAGCCTCATTAGCCAGGGTGAGCAAAGTCAAATTTAAATGCTCAGAAAACGAAATAATCCTGGGGAAAGTACTGAGAAAAAAATGAAAATACATATGGAACACAATGGGAAACAGAAAGAATGGAGAGTCTTCCAGTCTTTTATTGGAATTACTAACAACTGAACGTGATACTTTTATTGGAGGAAAATCACTATAAAGCACAATTATCCAAACCCTATTTAAATGTACATATAGGCATTAAAGATTCTGGTTAATATTAGGATTTTTATGGCTATATGTTAAGAGCTGCTGGCACAAGAAATATAGGATGATGGCCATTTCAAATATCTGATACACTAAATGGGGAAACATTCCTTCAAGCATTTGAAATTCTGTTCATTGACCTGGCTACTTACAAGCTTAACCTATGGTTCTGGCTCTTTGTTCAAGGTACAGAGTTTAGGCAGAGTTGGTTTCTTTGGATTTTTACAGACCAACACTATTATTTCTAGCTATTGTCAATCCTCCATCATGAATCTATATATATATAAAAGCCTAAGTGACCGTTATGGCTGGTTGACCGAATGACTGATTGCTATGATGCGCACTGACCATCAGGGGGCAGACGATCAACGCAGGAGCTGCCCCCTGGTGGTCAGTGCGCTCCCACAGCCAATCTCCAGTGGCTGGGCAACCTCCCACAGTCCCTCCCCGTGGCTGGCTGGGCCCTGATCGGCCTGATCAGGACTGTGTGAGACAGCCCTGATCGGACCCGATCACCAGCCAGGCCTAGGGATCCCACCCGTTCACAAATTCATGCACCAGGCCTCTAGTATATTATAGTTGTCAAAAGTTCTCCAGTTTGACCTAATTGTTCCTGCTCTTATAAAGGCCAGCCTTAACTTAGCCATGACAGAGGTCAGTGGTGAATATTAGGTACAGAGTAAGAAAAGAGAACAGATGGAAAGGGCAGTAAAGAACAGAGACTCAACAACATAAATGGGGCTGGCTGGCATGGCTCAGTGATTGAGCATTGACCTATGGACCAGGAGGTCACAGTTCCATTCTTGGTCAGGGCACATGCCGGGGTTGCGGGCTCAACCCCCGGTGTGTGGTGTGCAGGACGCAGCTGATCAATGACTCTCACCATTGATGTTTCCATCTCTTGCTCCCTCTCCCTTCCTCTCTGAAATCAATAAAAATATTAAAACAAACAAACAGACAAACAAACACATAAATGGGACAAAACATAAGATGAGATGTCCTCTCTCCAGAAGACTGCTGTACAGATTGGTACAACGAGAAAACGCCTGTGCTAATAAGCCATCCTTGCATATAAGGAGGAATAGCAAACAAAATGTACACCAAATACAAAATTATACCCACAGTTTCTATTATAGCGCTGACAGAATGTAAATGTCCTCAGTGAATGCAAATGAGACCAATCACTCACCTTATCAAGTTCACTTGTCAGTTTTTTATTTTCTTCAGTTAGTAACACCTTTTCTCGTTCATACTGTTGTTTGAACTCATTTTCAAATTCTTCCCTTTCACTTTGACTAACACAATTCAAAAAAGAAAAGAAAAAAAAGGAACAGAATTAAAGGTCAAGTTATGGTGTCCCAGACGGGCTATTGCACCATATGTTTTATCCCGGAAAGTCACTTAGAGCTTGACTATTCCAAATCCCAATCTTTTCCCTTAAAGTTAAAATCCCAATCACTGCCTTTTAAATAACAAATGGATTTGTCTGCTTAATAGCATCTACTTTGTTTTCAATTGAAACTTGAGGAAGAGATCTGTGATTAGCAGACTCCTGGACTGTGTTACTTCCTTCTTTCCTTCTTAATCTAAGTGCCTGCCCGCATACACATATATACATACAACATACTCAAATTTAATATTATAAAGTTTACTTTAAATTATAGTTCTGGGGGCAGAACTGTAATTCCCCTTAGAAGTAAACACAGTTCTAACCGACTTTTAAAAACCTCATAAGGGAGAAAGGAGAATCAGTTTTTACATAACAAGATGTAGAAATGTAGATAAAGAAGCTTATCTACAGCAGTCTGATGGAGGATGTTAGTAACAGCAAATGAAATTCAATGTGGATCAGTTCTGGGTAATTTTATATGATTCAACAAAGAACATAATTTTGATTTTTAAAATGTAATCCTTTTAAAAAAATTTTAAAGTAATTTTTTAAAAATCCCTTGCACTACTAAATTACTAAAATAGACTAAATAATAATTTAAGTGATAAATTCCAGGAAAATAAACCATCCTGTATCCAAGCAAATATACCACTTTCCTTATTATCTATAGCCACAATGTGAATCTGTTATATTTAAGAATGTTTGATTCAGCATCAACTCCAAACAACAAATGACAGAAACATGAAAAATTACAAAAAGGTCTCCTTTCAGAAAAATATGTATGCAAATAAATCAAATAAATAGAGTACAATTTCTAGGTAAAACCATTATTGTTTTTTCTACTAGCATGAAACGAAAACTTAAGTCTCCTCCATTAAAACAAAATAAACAAGCTCTCCCCTAAACTCCAGGATGCACTTCATTTCCCGCTTTCCTGGTCTCTCGTTCCCTGGTAACTGCCCTGAGGTCCTGAGAGAGTTCGCCGTACCCACTTTCTCTGCCTAACTGCTCCTCACCACACCAAAACCTGCTCCTGCTGCTCCCCCTCATGAAGTGCCCTCTCAAACTCACCCGTCCTCACTGTGACTATGTCCAACCTCTGACAGTGCTGCCTAGTCCTATTCTTGAAATGATGGCTTCTCCTGGCTCCAGTGACACCACGCTCCTGGTTTCCAGCTGCCTTTGTGAACTCCCGGCACCTTCCATAGGCCAGGGCTCCCGGTGTTCTATGCCCGGAGCTCGACTCCTCTCATGTACACCTTTCCCCGAGCATCTCACCTACCACAGTACTGTCTCACTCTCCATTACACTGACAAACTTTGAATTTACATCTGAAGCTTTTCTGGGCTTCAAACTTCTGACTAGCTATCTCCAAAAGACAAAGAGAGAATCTTAAAAGCAGCAAGAGAAAGAAACTCAGTTACCTACAAGGGAGTACCCATATGACTGTCAGCTGATTTCTCAACAGAAACGATGCAGGCCAGAAGGGAATGGCAAGAAATATTCAAAGTGATGAATAGCAAGAACCTACAACCAAGATTACTTTACCCAGCAAAGCTATCATTCAGAATTGAAGGTCAGATAAAGAGCTTCACAGATAAGAAAAAGCTAAAGGAGTTCATCACCACCAAACCAGGATTATATGAAATGCTGAAAGGTATCCTTTAAGAAGAGGAAGAAAAAGGTAAAGATACAAATTATGAACAACAAATATGCATCTATCAACAAGTGAATCTAAGAATCAAGTGAATAAATAATCTGATGAACAGAATGAACTGTTGATTATAATAGAATCAGGGACATAGAAAGGGAGTGGGCTGACTATTCTCGGGGAGTGGGGAGAGTGTGGGGGGTGCAGGGAGGGACTGGACAAAAATCGTACACCTATGGATGAGGACAGTGGGAGGGGTAAGGGGAGAAGGTGGGGTGGGAACTGGGTGGAGGAGAGTTATGGAGGAAAAAAGAGGAACAACTGTAGTAATCTGAACAATAAAGATTTAATTAAAAAAAAGAAAAAACTAAAAAATAT